TATATATATATATATATATATATATATATATATATATGTAACTGAATCACTGTGCTGTACTCCAGAAATTAATACATTGTAAACTGACTATACTTCAATAAAAAAAATGAATAAAAAATAGGTAAAAGCAAATAGGGAGAAGGCAGAGAACTTATCTTGTATCTGTTTCTTCTCAATTGCGTTCAGATCAAAATAATCTTTATGCCAAAGTGGCATGGTTTGGGGTGACATATTTGGTACTCAAAACTACAATAACAAAAAAACCACGTAACTAGTTAGTACATATTTTCTTAGAACTGTGTGTGAGGAAGGGCTTTATATGTTGAGTAGTTTTAATATAATTTTCTGCACAATGTGCTAACAAAGATTTTTTAATTAACGCTTCCTAAATTCTGTTTGCTATGGGGAAAAATACAGTTTACTTATCTCTCTATTATGATATTTCAAAAAAGCTAAGCAACAAATAAAGACTTTTCTAAGAGCAATTTCAAAAATAGTTTATTTTAAGATTTATTCTTAGAAATAGCATTTGAGAAGGGGTAAGTCCCCTGCATTCATTGTAGTAAGAAAAAATTCTTGACTTTAATTGCCAAATTCTTAAGTTACTCTATTCTATACCTATTAGAGCTACTAAAATCAGCATACATGTATTATTAACAAATTAAGCTCTTATATGGCGATTTAACACTAGGTCTGTCTACTTACCCAGCATATAATACAGTAGAACAAATTAAATCTGATTCATGAATTTTATCTTTCATATGTTTTAGTAAATAATAAAGTAAATTTATACTAAAGTAAACATAGAAAACAGTGCACAAATCATAGCTTGTGCCTGTTTTGAAATTTATCTCCAGTAATATGCATACCTTTCTCAATGTAGGCCCATTTTATTTGACATTTTAAGTCACATATATTTAAGAATGTAGAGAGCAGGAAGTACCTGTGAACTTTTCTATGTAATTACATGCTTTTTGTTGATGATTAAAGTCTGTATGTTTATGCAGTTAGGATTCCGTATGAAGTTTTTCTTTTTATATATTTTTTAGGCTCCACAGTTTTTAACGTCCTCAAGGGAGTTTTGGAAGTGATCATTGGTATGGCAGCTGGATTGCTTCTTGGATTTTTTATTCGGTATTTTCCAAGCGGTGACCAGGTAAGAGAAATAATCTGTGAGAAAGTCGTGCTCTAAAATGTCACTGGAAAAACATTCTGGAACACTCCCCTGAAAGCTGATGTGAAGGATGTGATTTAGAAAACAACCCCCCATTTTAAAACCGCTTATTGCAGTATCGATGCTGTCCATGAGATTTATAAAGGGAGCTGGATGTATAAGATTTTAATGCAGCCTGGGAATTTTTTTCTCTAATTTATATTCTGTATACTTCAAATTTCACTGTAAAACAAATAACATCAATTCTTGAATAATATGATGCATCTTTTTATTTATTACTTTTTAATTATTATATGTAATACTCAACTAAATCAAGATATAAAATGGCTCATAGGGCCCCCTTTTTTAGAATCAAAATACCCCAGATTCTAGTACTATCAAATAGATAGACCTGAACATTTCATTATAATGTAGTCCAGTATTTCTCACTAAAGATGTCAAAGTTCTTTATTGTATACAATGATTTCTTAATAAGAAGCAAAGGTTCTGTTTGTTTTCTTTTACCCTTCTAAGTCTCTTAGAATAGATAAATATATAAAAGTCTTTTTTTCCCCTTTAATAACTGGCATTATTTTGAGATTTCAGATCATTTTGAATGCAACTAGAAGCTTAACTAAAGTAGAACATTATCACAATGTATGTTGCTTTGAATTTTTACTGTGCTCCAAAAACTCCAAGTGAAATTGTCTGTGAAAGATTTTATGAATATGTGAAAGAAAATTATAGAATTTTCTAATTAAGCAACAAAATAAAGAGAAAAATGGTGGTTCACAGTTTGTTTCTTACTATGTATTAGATGATGTGGTAAGTACAGTGGTTCAGTATAGCAGCCACTAGCTACCCGTGGCCATTGCAGATATAGAAACTTCTGCCATCACTGAATGTTCATTCTGTTGGGAAGTGCTAATCCAGTCCAATCCACACAATAGCACATGAAGAGAGTACTCTTAATATGATCATTTACCAATGAGGAAATTGAGGCTTAGGGAGAAGTGACTTACACAAGGTCACATAGCTAGAAAGCCATAGAGCTGGGAATGGACTTGGGTAACCCAATGGCAGAGCTTGCATGCCTCCAAGCCAAACACTTCTAAAGGCCTGCCTGCCTTCTAAAAGGATCAAGAAGTTTAAAAGGCTGAACAGGGAAAAGTAAAGGGAGAGAGGTGCACATTTCTTAGACTAAAAATCAGCAACAGCAAAAAACTACTGTCAGCCTACAGCCTCTTAAAGCTTCTTGGTGTTTTCAAGGATTTGGAAAGAAACACCAGGAGAGCAAAACATTAAAGAATAAACAAAGAGCCTAAAAATAATGAAGATATTACCTCTTTAGCCTTCATAAAATCCCTGTGCTTTTGGAAAGGAAGAAAGCAAGCTTGAAGAGGCTAATAATGTGTCCAACTACATACGCCAGTGGTGTAGAAGCTAGAAGTTAAGCTCTGGTCTGACCCCAAAGCCCGTGTCTTTTTTTCTGCTGTTTCATTTAGCCCTGTGAACTTCTGCTTTGGTAACAGCAGAGGAGAGTGACTGGTGTTTCTGGAAGAGGAGGTGACATTCGTGCATTTGTGCTAACTCTACTTTTATTGAGAAAAAGAAAGTAAATGTTATGTCATGCATTTATGTGCACAGACAGACATTTTTTATTTTCTGCTAAGTCCTGAATATGGAAAAATCAACTAATTAAAGATCATTTGCATGAAATAATTGAGCTAACCAACCTCTTTTCTCCTCAAGGACAAACTGGTGTGGAAGAGAGCATTCCTTATCTTGGGGCTGTCTGTGCTGGCTGTGTTCAGCAGCACGTATTTTGGTTTCCCTGGATCAGGAGGACTGTGCACGTTGGTCATGGCTTTCCTTGCAGGCAAGGGATGGGCCAGCCAAAAGGTGAATTCATTTAAAATTCTTCTGCTCATGATTACTTTTTGATTAGGTTAATTTTTTCTTTCCAGATAGTTTCTTAACGTCAAATTAATAAAGTTATTTAATCATAAAAGCTATTGTCTATGCATTAAGGGTATGCCCAAGTGCACACACGCACATCCTTTCCTCCTTACATACCAATCTACAACTCGGTGTCTCCACCTAAAACATATCATGGTCCTATTTCCATGCTGCCTTCCTTACTCTTTGTAAGGGCTGCAGAGTATTGCATTGAATAGCTCTGCTATACTCTGTTTAATCAGTCTCCTACTAATAGACATTAGATTGTTTCTAATTTTCTGCTAAGACAAAGGTGCTTCAATAAAATGCCCTTATATATACTGTATTTCATAAGCTCTAAATACTGTTGAGTTGAAGAAGCACTATTATTTTACATGCCACCAAGAAGGAAAAAGAATGCTGCCAATTAAATTATGATGTAACATCCTAATTTCAGAAATATTAAATTGTGAAAAAAAATTAATTATAGCATATCATTGAGTTTGTAATATACATTTTCTAGAAATAGGATTGCTCTACTGAAGAGTATGCACATTGATACTTTTGCTAATATCGGTTTGCCCTTTGAATTCTCACCAATACTATGGGAGAGGATTTGCTTTTCTGATCTGAGTATTTTCAGTCTTCAGGTATTCTGCTAATCTTATGTGTGAAAAATGTATGTCATTGCTGATCTGATCTGCATTTCTTTGTGAATGAAGCTAATCATCTTTGTATGTGTTTACTAGCCAATTTGTTCAAAAGCCTGTGCCCATTTTTTATGAGATTGTTTGATTTTTCTTACCAATTTTCAAGATCATTAAGATTATCCATTTTCTTAGGATGTATTATGGAAATTAGCTGGTTGCCATTTATTTATTTTAATTTCAAGATACTTGACAGGATCATATGCTGTTCTGTTTAATGAAGAAATTAGGTGTATGTGACCTAAACTAAATGCAGATATGTCATTTTGGAAAACCTGAAGACCACTGCTCAAAATAATTAAGCGTAATATAATGTCATATAGAAACATTGTGAGGGTTATAAATTTTGAGATTAAGTATGTAATCATATTTAAGTATGTGACGCTCTGCAGAGATATGATAGAGACAGAATTTCCTTTGGGTAAACAGCATTCACGTAGGAGGCTCTTCTCTAAGAGTGTGATTATCAAGTTAGAGCAAGTATAATCGTGACCCATCTTGCTTTAGCAAAGGGAGGGATTGGTAGGGGCTGCCTTGTAGGGGCAGGGTAGGGGCTCCCATTTCCTTAGGAAAGGGTACTGAAGCCAGAGGAAAGTGGGCTGAGGTAGATTGGGCTTTGAGGGAAAGGAGAGAGTCCTTTTGAAACCCTGCTCTAGGCACCAGATGGGCACCTAGGTTTGCTGCCTTGTCAGGAGGCTTGACTATAATGCTTGTTTCAGGTCTACTCTTTTTTTCAGCGTCACGTATATTATTCAGTTCTACTTCCTGATTTCAAATAATGTAGCATCTGACAAGAAAAAGGCTAAAAAGTAAATGAACTTCCTCGTATAAATCGGGTACTCTTATCGTCCCTCATCTCTCATGACTATTTGCTCTTATTAAACCTTTGTTTTTACATGGCTTCACTTATTTCCACAAAGGAAACTTTGAAAAAGTATTATCATTTCCATTTTATAGAGACTGTAAATCAGGAGAACTTAAAAAACATGTCCAAGGTCACAAAATTAGAAATTGGCACTGGGATTTAAGCTCTCATTTGATTCGAGCGACTTGTACTACCCTGTAACACAACTGTAGCATTATTGTACAGGGCACATTTTTATATTCTGACATCTATTTGAGTAAGCCATATCAAGTATACTAAAAACATTATACTTCTAAACTTTGCCATTTAAAATTAAGTCTCAAAATTTGTAAATGATAGGATTTAAAAAAACAATGAAGAGGAAGCCATATCATTTGGAATAGAGAGCATAAAAGAGTAGTTTTAGCAACAGGAAATCAAGGGGGACACTAATCCCCATGCAAGTAGGGATTAGCTGTGGGCACAGAAAGACAAAGAAAGGAAACTTTGATGAATTTCAATGACACTGTTCTGTAGAATATAATGTAGGTTGTACAGAAAAGATTGTTGTAAACCAAAACAAAGCAGCTGTTTGTCTGCATTTGTCATAACTTTGCCTGAATTGCCTGCACCTGACTGATTACGTAGAAGGTCATTGTAATCTGCAACCTAGAGAAAAAGCTAAGTACATTGGTTTTCATATCTACCTCTGGCTACTGTCCTGTGTATATCTCTTTATACATACACACATGCACACGCACACACATGGATGCCCCATAATTTTTTAAACCATTCCCTTATAACTAAATATGTAGTTTATTTTCAGTCTCTGCTATTTTTAATTATGCTAAAATACATTTTCTAATCATTTCCTTAGGACATGATTCAGTGAAAGTTTGGAGTCAGATAACAACATTTTGAGTTTTTTTGCCACATGTTACCAAACAGCTCTCTAGAGTTGTATCCATTTACTTTCTACCAGTAATATATGAGGTACGTATGTCATCACACCCTCATCAGCTTAGAATAGTTTCTCAAACTTGAGCATAAGTCAGAATCACCTGTAAGTCTTGTTAAATTAGATTTCTGGTTCCTGCTCCCAAATTTCTGGTTTAGTTAGACTATGATGGGGCTTGAGGATTTGCACTTCTGCAGTTCCCAGGTAATACTAATTCTGCTGATCTGGGGACCACACATTGTGAACCACTGGCTTAGAAGATTATTGTTTTTACTCTAGCCATACTGAGAGGTAAAAAGTGGTATCTTGTTTTCTTTTATACTTCTTTGATTAATAATAAATCAAACACATTTTCATACACTTAACCATTTGTTTGGGGTTTTTTTATTATTCTTTGATAGGTCTTTTTCCATTATCTTCTGAACTTTGATTGATTATTGATCTGTAGGATACATACATATACATATATACACATATTTACATATATGAAATTAGCTTTTTATGCCTTTTTATATTCTTTTCAATTTTACACAATAATATGTACTTTCATGTGATCAGATCTATGGATCTCTTATTAGGATCTTTCCTCAATAGTTTTTTTTTCCTTAAAGTTCTCTTTGCTAGTGAAATTTTACATATGTTATTTACTCTATACAGTAACCTTGAAAGGTAGATATCAAACCATTTTACAAATGAGGACACTAAGACCTTAGAGTTACTAGACAGATTGCCTAAGGTCACAAAGCCAGTAGGTGGCCAACCCAGGATGAGAACATACCATTTAAATGTATCAAAATGGTTCCCTAAAACAGGACGGAAAATGAATCTTCACTGAATTAACTATGTGGCAGGCACTCTCCATATCTTTTCTAATTTAGTACTTCCAGAGTCGCCAAACCAACATGTCCAGATTTTGGATTTCTTTTTTTTTCCCCTTGTTCTGTTGTATAGCATCAGGTCAAGAGCTCAAACAGCTTGAGCTAACCTCCAGTCTACAATTTAGTAGCTATATGACCACATGCAAGTTATCTAACTTCTCAGTCATCGATCTCTTTATCTCTCACGTGGGGAGTGATAACAGCAAGAACTTCATAGAGTGGAGGATTAAGTGAAATAATCTCTATAAAACAAAGTCCTTAGTCATAGAATACACTCAGTGAATAATAGCCCTTATTATTTTTATAACTACCTCCAGAGCAGTACATAATAAAAAGCACAAAATTTAAGATATGAATACTGGGATTCCAATCACCATTCTGTGACTCTTGAGCTGTGTAATCCCCCAAAAGTCACCTACTTTCTCTAATACTCAGTTTCTTCGATTGTAATGTGGAAAAAAATAATAATCACATTTAAAGAATTGTTGTGGCTATTATATAAAGAAATGGAAATGAAATGCTTGTATACTCAACAGCACTATAGCAGCTCAACTATTGTTGAGTTATACCTTGAAAAGCTAAAATGTTTCATAAAATTTTATTTGTGCCTGTAGGTTCTGACATTATTTCATGCTTTTTGGCTTGATTTTTCCATACGGTAATATTGCTATTTGTTGTATTCAAATGCACTCACCTTTTTTAAGCCTCTGTTATCTATTTTTTTCATCTGTTTTCAAATCCAGTGCTTCTAGAGGCGCTGTATAGTTGTGGGATTTTTTTTTCCTTGATATATTTTGGATCCTCTGAATCTTGAATTGTTCTAAGAAGAGAAGTATCCACTTAAGTAGTTATTTAACTCATGATGAAACCTCCATTTCTCTTAACTTTTTCCTTTTGTCCATTCTTGAAAGGGGTTTGTAATTTTGAAGATTCTTACTATTGGTGCATACCAATAAAGTGACCTTAACTTTTCAATGGACGACACAGTCTTCGTACCTCTGGGCTCATCTTTTATATTTAACTTATTTGATAACTCCATTTTCTTTATAAACAAATTCATTTTGGTTTTGAAGTTATGAAAAGTTCACAGGAAGATACATTTTGATTCTTCTCTCATTCTTAAGTTTTACAGTATATAAGCCCATGTCTCATGTTCAACTAGTCTAAAGTGTCATAATCAAAAAGCAAATCATAGCCTTCGTCTGCAGTTTAGAAATAAAAATAATTTGGTAGAGAAAACTTTTTAGGACTTCTGAGTTCTGAGTACTTGAAATATTTCTGAGGATGGTCCTTAAGCAATTAATTAGTCCTGGCAACAAAAGGCTAAGTAACCTAAAATTAATAGAATTGATTTTGTTCTTTACGGCTGTGGGTATCAACTAAAATCTGAGCTTTAGCTATGATATATTCTAAAAATTAAATTGAAAAGTAAAATTTAAAGGTATTTGGAAAGGTGGTGACAACTGGACCCATTTTGGTAGAACTAGTCTTTGTCATTAAAAGATAGAATATCTTGGATGTTTTCTAATATAAACTCATTTTACAGATGAGAAAAATGAGGTGCTGAGGGCAAGTTAGTGGGTGGCAGAATTTGAACCTAAGTCATTATCTGATTCCTTTTTTTTTTTAACTGAAGTATAGTTAGTTTACAACATTGTGTTAATTTCTGGTGTACAGCATAGTGATTCAGTAATACAGATATATATATTCCTTTTCATATTCTTTTTTGTTATAGGCTATTGTAAGGTATTGAATATAGTTCCCTCTCCTATACAGTAGGACCTTGTTATT